AGAAACACATCCAGGGAAATCTGTTCTAGGGTGGGTTGATCTGCTAAATGAGAATCTGTCCTAGAAACAGTTTTCCTATGTGTCCTGACTAGCTTGGATGAGACTGAACTTTCCCCCCTTCAAACTGCCTTCAGTAAATGATTTCAGTATATTGAGGCAGTTTCCCTTATCTCACAGGAACCTAGCTGGTCTTAGGTATGCAGATCCCAGGTGCTAAGCCAGGCCTGATCTTGGGGATGTTGATGCCTGGCTCCAGGCTGGCTGATCTTTGAGATGTAGACTCCAAGCTCTAGCAGACTGGTCTTTGATGTGCTAATCCAAGTGCTTGTAGTTTGTAAAAGGTGAGGCCAAGATTATTGGCCTTGGGATGTAAAGAAACAATGTGGATATAAAGAAACAATGTGGATATAAAGAAACAATGTGGATGTAAAGAAACAATGTGGATGTAAAGAAACAATGTGGATGTAAAGAAACAATGTGGATGTAAAGAAACAGTGTGGATGTAAAGAAACAATGTGGATGTAAAGAAACAATGTGGATGTAAAGAAACAATGTGGATATAAAGAAACAATGTATGGTTTGCAGCCTCAATGTTCTTTCTGTTACTCCTTTGGATGACATCTCTATATTGTGCCCTTTAGAGGTACCATGATCTATATAAGGGGATTTTCGGGGTTCTCTGGGAGAGCACATCCTTGAGGACTCCTGAGGTCTCCATGACATACATTTCTTGCATGTAATTATCTGCTACTAAGACCAACCAGCGATAGCACAGCGGGTAGGGCGTTCGCCTTACAAGCGGCCAACATGGCCGACCCGAGTTCGATTCCTCCGCCCCTCTCGGAGAGCCCGGCAAGCTACCGAGAGTATTCGATATGCCAGACACAGTAACAACAAAGTCTCCAATGGAGACGTTACTGGGCCCGCTCGAGCAAATCGACGATCAACGGGAGGGAAATAAATAAAATAAAAATAAAAAGACCAACCAGCCTGGCCCTCGTTTCCTTCCTTTGCCTGACCATCGCCATCGACCTCCCTGGAGTGGGGAAACGGCCTGAGACTACTGAACGCGGGCAGCGGGAGAGATAGGCTGCTGCTGTCCCTTTGCCCGTCCTTTTTTTGTGTGTTTACACAAGGGAGGACAGTGATATACTGACAGAATAGCTCAGAGGATCAAGCATGTGACTTGAAAGGTGGAGGATCAGCCTCCATCCCCACCACCAAATCTACGGTCCCTGGATACCACAGGGAGAAAATTCAGGGCATAAGGCTGAGAGTACAGGGCCCTTAGCCTCACTGGGTGCTGAAATCAGTTCTTTAAAAACCTAAAGAAATTCTATTATTTTTCATATCAATTAGGTAAAGGTAAAGGTAAAGGCCCTCCTGTTGATCGTCGATTTGCTCGAGCGGGCCCAGTAACGTCTCCATTGGAGGCTTTGTTGTTACTGTGTCTGGCATATCGAATACTCTCGGTAACTTGCCGGGCTCTCTGAGAGGGGCGGAGGAATCGAACCTGGGTCGGCCTTGTTGGCCGCTTGTAAGGCGAATGCCCTACCGCTGTGCTATCTCTCCAGCCCCATATCAATTAAAAACTGTAATTTTGCCTTCTATAGAAAGTAAGCACAAGTGGTAATTGTTTCAAAGAACTGCTTTGTAGGCCCTAGGGAAAGTGCAGTGGGACAGACATATGCTTTGCCCTGGACTCCATGCCCAGCACCCCATATGGTCCCCATAACATGCCAAGGAGTCATTACTGAGCACTGCTTGTTGTGCCCCCTCCCCAAATAAATACAACCAAGAAAACAAAACAAAAGAACAAAAACCTCACTAATCCCGAGAGTAATGCGCTTGTGCTGTTTTAAATGTCCCCAGTTGTCCACAGCACCGGCTCACTCCCTGTCCTGATGGGGCAGTAGCGCTGTGTCCAGCCTTCCACACAGTCCCAGACAGTGACTTACAGGCCCAGAGAGAAGATCCTCAGCGACTCCCTGTTGAGGAGCAGAGGACTCCTGAGAGCCAAATCTAAGAGATTTTGGGACAGTGGTTCTGCCGACGGCCTGGGCAAACAGGCAAAGGTTTGAACAAAGAGAAAGCAAAGTGGTCCTTTGAAGAAGCTCTGAGATCCTCACAAGGTCCCAACACCATAAAATCCCAGACAAGCCCCCAAAAGTTGTGGGATCACGGTCAAAAGACCACTGGAGACATCAAATAAAATTTGGAGGCATGTTTATTCACACCAGCTGGCGGGCTGTCCCAGTAACCAAGAGCAGCAGTCTCCCAGCAGAAACACAGGCTTTTGATTAGGAAAAAACACATCCTGGCGTACCTGTCATTTTCATAAAACACTGTCACTGTCCTCCCGTTGTTCATCGATTTGCTCGAGTGGGCCCAGTAATGTCTCCATTGTGAGACTTGTTATTACTGTGTTTGGCATATCAAATACGTCACGGGTAGCTTGCCAGGCTTTGCCACACAGGCAAGATACTCTCCATAGTTTGCCGGGCTCTCCGAGAGGGGCGGAGGAATTGAACCTGGCTCAGCCGGGCCAGAGGCTTGCAAGGCAAATGCCCTACCGCTGTGCTATCGCTCCAGTCATTTTCATAAACACCCACAAAATTAGTTTAACTCACTGGGGCCATATCCTGCTGCATGGTAAAGTTTTGTAAACATAGCCGAAGCAAGCACAGAAACAAGAAAAAGTGATTACACAAAGCAATCAACTTTTATCATCTCTCTCTTTTTTTTTTTTGCACTTTTTGGGTCACACCTGGTGATGCACAGGGATTACTCCTGGCTCTGCACTCAGGAATTACCCCTGGCTGTGCTCAGGGGACTATATGGGATGCTGGAAATCGAACCCAGGTCGGTCATGTGCAAGGCAAACGCCCTACCTGCTGTACTATTGCTTCAGCCCCAACCACCTCATTTTTTTTCTTTTTTGGGTCACACCCAGCGGTGCACAGGAGTTACTCCTGGTTCATGCACTCAGAAATCTCTCCTGGCAGTGCTCAGGGAACCATACGGTGCCGCAGACCACTCGGTCGAAGACCACCAGGCTGAGGGGAGACCAGGCGAAGGTGCACAGGAAAGCAGGAGATTCGGCGCGTTGGACAGACAGACACCAACACGAGAGAGGCTGAGTGCTGCTGCGGTTTATTGCATCCAGAGTTCTTCTTCTTATACAGTTACAGAAACAACGTGGCAAGGCACACATTACATCAGACCATGGGTCATGTTCCCAAAACATCAAGGGGCACGTACACGTTCCGCTTTAAGATTAGGACAGAACATCCGCTTGTCCCAATAAAATATCTGGGTGAAATATTATGTTCCTTACTATTCCTCTATTGTCTACTTTCACTGACATTTAAGTTTTTACTTCCCTAAAAATGCCTACCCATAACCTAAAAAAATCAGGACTTTACAGAAACTAATATTAACTCTATTTTACTAGCAAACATAATTCAAAGACTAAAGGTTAATCAAAACATCTTAATCCAAGCTTGTGATTAATCATCAGGAATAACTAACAGGCAGGCTCCTATTCCCACAGAATGGTAAGGGCGCTTTCAAAAACAGAAGAGGGGGCTACCGGAGGCATAGACCCGTGGGCCGCGAACCTCCCATTCCCAGGGACCCAGGCCCTTGCCTGAGCCCCCTTGCAGCATGTTGCTACGCGGGCGACGCCGTAGCCATCGTGGCAATATGGGATACTAGGAATCGAACTTGGGTCTGCCGCGTGCAAGGCAAATGCCCTACCTGCTGTGCTATTGCTCCAGCCCCAACCACCTCATTTTTGAGGATCCTAATCTATTGTTCCTTATTTGCTCTTCATGACTGGCTACACTCTAGTGAAGCAGTTACAGGAAATTCAGTATACTTATTGAATAAATCTGATAACTAAAAAGTAAACTTCTAAACTAACAAACATCATATTTCTACTCATATTTCTACTGTAACAAACATCAAATCATCATAGCCAAAGGATTGGTCAACATATCTGAAAAAAAAAAAAAAAAAGACTTTCTCCTTCACACCCGATGAATAATTGTTCTTGTCCATGGTTCAGATTTTGAAGAATTTCATTCTAGCTGGATAATCCATCTCGTACTAAAGTACTAAAAGACTACTCAGCTGCATGGCGGTGAAGGGACCTTCCATTTATGCTGCTGATTCATGTTAGATCCCGTCAAATTCACTGCACTGTTGAACTCAAGCACTGTTTGAAGAGTTGCTGAGCACAGATATAAATAGCTTGAGAACACCAATGACTATGAGAACGCACATATATTGATTACACATATAATATTCTCCCATTCATCACCAATCCCCGAGCCCTTCTGGTCCATGTGACTTAGTTTCTAGCTAACTCCTGTAACTGTGAGAAAATGAACAGTTAAAGCTATTCCAGCAACTGAAAGTTCAGTGCCATGTAAACATTCATCTGGGCTCAGAGATGATCCAGCGAGGAAGTAACTGATCCAGGTTCCGCCCTTAGCACCCTAGAGGGTTCCCAGAACCCAGTCTGGAGAGATTCCTGAGCACAGAGTCAGGAAAAAGTCCTCAGCACTACTGGACATGGCCCCCCAAAACAAATGAACACAAAACATCATGAATATCATAATATTAACACCCAGTGATTTCTGAGCAATTTGGGGGCTCAGGGGTTGGTGGTCTAGTGCTGGGGCGTGGTCCTAGAAGGAGTTTTCAAAAGAAATCTTTTTTGGGTTTTAGCCTCTTAGAAAAAACAAAGAATTTCTGTTCCATATTCCATTTATTCAGTCTATCCGGACAATTCATCTATCCGGACCTGGCGACCGCCAGATGTCCGGGTCACCTGATCCTCCCCCAGAAATGGGAAAATAATCTTCCTGAACCAGCAAAGACCGGGTCAGGAAAACTTAGGGCCTGGCCCTTTAAGGCTCTGTCCACGCATCCTGGTGACGTCACAGAATCCGGAATCCAGGGCCTTTTTTTTTCCCCCTTCTAGATCTTCGGGTTCGGGGCGGAAGTGCCATTCAGCAGCCGTTGCTGCCGAGGGTGAGGAGCGGGTATCGGGGGACCCAGGAGGACCAGGGGGTCCTGGAAGGCCAGTTTCCTCGCCGGCCAGCCCGGTGGTCGCTCCGAGCACCCCGAACCTTGAGAGCGGCGGGGTCGGTCCGTGGCGATCGCCGGGGGTGGCGGCCCCGCACCCGGGACGCACCGATCGCTCCCGAGGAAGGAGTTTATTTATTCCTTGGGGTTGGAGAAATGAGGGAGTTTTTAACCCAACGGCGCTTGCTTCGAGGGACGCCTAAGCGGGGGCGCGGGTCCAGCGGGGCGGGCCGGCCGGGCTCCATCCCCGGCGCCCACCGGGTCCCCGGCCGCCAGGAGCCGATCTGAGGGGTCGCGTGGGGTCACCGCTGCGGTCCAGGGACACTCGGAGCCCCCGGGACGGTCCCTGGCGGGTGGGGGTGGGAGGATCGTCCCGGGAATGACCCCCAGGCCGGCCCGTTGCTGGCCGCCTTTGATCCCTGAGGCTGATCATAGACTCCGGGGCTAAAGGGTTTCCCTCATCAAAGGGCCCTGGGAGTGCCCCTCTCCTTCTCCCTTCCTCTCCCTTTCTTCCCCACACCCTTCCTCCCTCTCTCCCTCCCCCCTTCCTCTCCCTGTTTCTCGCTGTCGCTCTATCCCTCTCCCAGAACCCAGCGATGTGCAGGTGTCACTCTGGGCTCTGCGCTGCACGGTGGGGGAATCTCCTAGCAGTGCTCAGAAAAATCCTATGGGGGCATGCTCCGGCTCAATAGGGGTCAACCGCGTCTAAAACTGGGGCCCCTGGAGAGATAGCACAGCGGGTAGGGCGTTTGCCTTGCACGCGGCCGACCCGGGTTCGATTCCCAGACTCCCGTATGGTCCCCCGAGCACCACCAGGAGTAACTCCTAGTACAGAGCCAGGAGTAACCCCTTGCATCTCCAGGTGTGACCCCCCGCCCAATAAAAAGGAAAAATAAAACTGGGGCGCATTCTTAATTAACATTCTTGGGACTCCAGAGTATTTGGTGGAGCCTTTTGGTTTTTCCCTGTCCCCCTTGCAACCAGTAGGTTCTTGGAAGTCCCGGGAGATGCTTGCTTTTTTTTTTTTGTTTTGTTTTTTGGGGTCACACCCAGCAATGCTCAGGGGTGACTCCTGGCTCTGCAGTCAGGAATGACTCCTGGCGGTGCTCAGGGGACCATATGGGATGCTGGGAATCGAACCCAGGTCGGCCGCATGCAAGGTAAACGCCCTACATGCTGTGCTATCGCTCCAGCTCCCGAGATGCTTTTTTTAAGAGAATACAGGGAGGCCCGAGGGATAGTACAGTGGGAAGGGCGTTTACCCTGCACTGGCCGACCCAGATTCATTCTCCAGCATCCCATATGGTGCCCTGAGTACTGCCAGTGTTAGGGCGCGGATCGAAATCTCCCTTTGACGACAAAGAGACTCCAGAGACTGCAAGCAGCAAGCAGGGTTTATTGCAAGACTGGCTAGCCAGGGTCCCACCGCCCACACAGACACGCAGGTCTGGCAGGTTGGGTAAAGACCCTGAACTTCTTCAAAGATCTTATATAGGCCTTCACCGACCTTTACGGCAGAGCCCGCGCATTTCATAGCCAATAGATTTGTAATAACAGATACTTTCCTAACCAATCCAATTAAGGATACATCACTTCTTAGCCTATAGTTTAAAGATCAGCATTTGCATCAGTGCTTAGGAACGTCTTGATTTTTAGGGCAGCCCTGGGTCTTGCAACATGGGTCTTGTGAGAGACGTCCAGTTATCTGGTCTGAGCCCCCCCCCCCCTTCGAGTACCTGTATCTGAATTCCTTGCTCAGGGACAGAAAAACCAGTTATTTTGCAGTGCAGGCTCCTGTAAAGCAGATCTGAAAAAGCTTATCTAGACCTGTTCCTTGAAAAAAACAGTTATTTTTGCAATGCAGGTTCCTATTAAGCTAAGCTAAATTAATTCTGGTGGTGGTCCATTTTGGGCCTGTCTCTCACACCAGGAGTGATTCCTGAGTGCAGAGCCAGGAGTAACCCCTGAGTGTGACCCAAAAAGCAAAAAAAAAAAAAAGAGAGAGAGAGAGAATCTATGATTACCATTGCCTACCATGCCTTATTTATTTTAATTAATTAATTAAGGTGGGGGGGCACACTCCTGGAAGTTCTCAAGGAGCCATATGGATGCGGCAGTCAAACCTGGGTTGTCCGTGTGCAAGATAAGCACCTCACCCGCTGTACGATCTTCCCACCTCCTTTGCACAGGAAATATTTACTTTTATTATTTCGAAGTTGTAGGTTTGGGGCCACAGCCTCAGTACTTAGAGCTTACTCTTAGATCTAAATTTAGGCATCATTCCTGGCAATCCTGGGGGCAAACTTATGTACCGTCATGAATTAAACCTGGCATAGCAGCTTGAAAGAGAAGCACCCTATCAACTGTACTCTCCCTGCTAGCCCTATATGATTTTTTTTTCCCCCAGAGAAAATTTGTTTCACCTGTGAAGTTTCTGAGCACCACCCCCACTGCCCAACTCTCCTAGACCAGGGGCGCCCCCTGTTGTTGAGGTGAGTACTTGCAAAAAGGGGTTTCTGCACTAGATTTTTTTTTTTTTTTTTTTTTTTTTTTTGCTTTTTGGGTCACATCCAGCAATGCTCAGGGGTTACTCCTGGCTCTGCACTCAGGAATTACTCCTGGCAGTGCTGGGGGAACCGTATGGAATGCCGGGAATTGAACCCGGGTCTGCCGGGTGCAAAGCAAACGCCCTACTTGCTGTATTATCGCTCCGGCCCCCTGCACTAGATTTTATTTCTTTATTTATTAATTGCTTTTTGGGTCACGCCCGGCCATGCAAAGGGGTCATTTCTGCCTCTGCACTCAGGAATTATCCCTGATGGTGCTCAGGCGACCATATGGGATGTTGGGAATCGAACCCGGGTCAGCCGCATGCAAGGCAAATTTCTTACCCGCTGTGCTATTGCTCCAGCCCCCTGCACTAGATTTTAAATGTCTCAGTAGGGGCCCTAGCAATAGTACAGCCGGAGGGCCTTTGTATTGCTCCAAGCTGACCTGGGTTCAATCCTTGGCATCTCGTAGGGTCCCTTGAGCATTGCCAGGAGTGGCCCAATAATGAAAAAAAGAAAAAAAAATATATATATATATTTGCTTTTTGGGTCACACCCGGCGATGCACAGGGGTTACTCCTGGCTCTGCACTCAGGAATTACCCCTGGCGGTGCTCAGGGGACCATATGATATGTGCTATCACTCCAGCCCCGAAAAAATATATATTTTTTTAAATAAAGGGCTGGGGGGGAAAAAGGGGGCTGGAGCAATAGCACAGCGGGTAGGTCGTTTGTCTTGCACGCAACCAACCCAGGTTCGAGTCCCAGCATTCCATAGGGTCCCCTGAGCACCGCCAGGAGTGATTCCTGAGTGCAAAGCCAGGAGGAACCCCTGAGCATCGCCAGGTGAGACCCCAAAAAAGCAAAAAAACAAACAAACAAATAAATAAATAAATAAATGGCTGGAATAGATAGTACATATGTGGAGCGCTGCTTCGCATGCGCCGGACCCAGGTTTGATCCTGGACACCCCATAGTATCTCTTGAGCATTGCTAGGTGTGACCTAAAAACAAAATAAAAGTATTTTCTTTAATAAAGGGCTGGAGCGATAGTACCCTGGCTAGAATGCTTGCATTGCACATGGCTAACCCCAATTTGATCCCCGACATCCCGTAGGATCCCCTGAGCACTGGCAAGTTTGGCCAGCATCCCCCTTTCCCCCCCAAAATTGAATTCTCCAGTATTTGTCTTGACACATGAGCATGTTTTCAACGTCTTTGGTGGTGGGGGGGTGTTGTGAGTATCTCTGCTGTCTTTTTGTTTGTTTCTTTTTTGTTTTGTCCTTTTGCTACAAACTTAGAGCTGGTGAGGGAAATTTTAATAATAAATAAAAGGTCTGGAGTGATAGTACATGTGGTAGAGGGGCTGGAGTTATAGCACAGCTGATAGAGCGTTTGCCTTGCACGCGGCCAACCCGGGTTCGATTCCCAGCATCCCATATGTTCCCCTGAGCACCGCCAGGAGTAATACCTGAGTGCATGAACCAGGAGTAACTCCTGTGCATTGCCGGGTGTGACCCAAAAAGCAAAAAAAAAAAAAAAAAAGTCCTGGGATTGGAGCAATAGCACAGCGGGTAGGGCGTTTGCCTTTTATGCGGCTGACCCGGGTTCGATTCCCAGCATCCCATATGGTCTCCTGAGCACTGCCAGGGGTAATTCCTGAGTGCAGAACCAGGAGTAACCCCTGTGCATCGCCAGGTGTGACCCAAAAAAAAACTTTTTTTTTTTTTTGGTTTGCGGCAATGCACAGGGGTTACTCCTGGCTCTGCGCTGAGCAGGTGCTCAGGGGACCAAATGGGATGCTGGGAATCGAACCCGGGTTGGCCACGTGCAAGGCAAACGCACTACCCACCATGCTATTGCTCCAGCCCCCCCCAAAAGGACACTTTTTTTTTGGGTCACACCCAGCGATGCTCAGGGGTTACTCCTGGCTCTGCACTCAGGAATTACTCTTGGCCATGCTGGGAGGACCATATGGGATGCCGGAGATCGAACCCGGGTCGGCCGCATGCAAGGCAAACGTCCTACCCACTGTACTATCGCTCCAGCCCCCAAAAAGGACACTTTTTAAAAATAGTAAGACACTGGAGCTGTAGTGCAGTGGGTCAGACACACATGCACATGGCAGGTTTGGCCAAAATCCTTCTTCCCTTCCCCCCCCCAAAAAAAAGTGTCACTCCAGTATTTGTCTTGATACATGAAGCATTCTTTGAACTTCTTTTTTGGGATTTGTGGGTATCCTGCCACCCCCTTTTTTTATTGGTGTTGCCCTTTTGCTGCAAACTTGGAGCTGGTCAGGGACTCTCCCCCCATCTGTCCATGTGTCACTGGATGCAGGGGAGCCATGCCATGCACCCCACCTTAAAGCAGGTGCTCAGCCCTCTGAGCTCCTCTCCCTGGGTCGATCTCACTACTCCAGGAGCAGATGGGGTAGGATTTGGGCCAAACCTGGCAGTGCTTGAGGGCTGCTCCCTGCTCTGTGCTCAGCGCACCAGTGGATAGTGGGTACCAAGGAAGGCCACCGGGCTTCCAGCTGGCTGGCATCCACTCCAGCTTGATGTATTATCCTACCCCTCTGTTTCTAACTTCATAGATGTGAATATTCTGGAATACTTTAAACAAAAGGCCGTCAGGAGGTAATGAAGGAGGCGGAGGCTCTGAGTCAAACTGTGGACTTTCACATGAAGATTTCTTTTAGGCCAAGTGTAATTTTTTTTCCCTCCTTTTATTTTCACAAAATCATGGATCCAAAGGAGTAAAATTCTATGGTCTGTGAAAACCTGGCTTGTAAGCTCTGAGCCCTGCCAGGTGTTTTCTCCAAACAAAAACAAACCAAAGAACTGACCCTTGAGAAGATACTGCTGGATCTCACACTTCTGCTGTTGGCAGATAACTTCCTCTTTGCCTTTATTTTGGGGGAATGGGAGTACAGGTGGGGGTTTCTATCAAACCCACCAGTGCTCAGGGATCATTCCTTGGAGATTTAGTTGATGTTGAGTCTGCTGCATACATGGCAAGTACCCTGCCCACTGGCCTCTCTTTCAGATCCCTCCAAATCTTTGAAATTGGAGCCTGTGCTTCCCCCCACCAGGAGCCGGCAGATGCCAGCTGTCACGTCCTCTACCAGCTGAGCCTCATCCCTGCCCCCCCTGAGGTGCCAGTCTGTGTCCTTCTCACAGGGTTTATAGGATTTATATAGAATTTGAATTCCTGGGGCTGGAGTGATAGCACAGCGGGTAGGGCGTTTGCCTTGCACGCGGCAGACCCGGGTTCGATTCCCAGCATCCTATATGGTCCCCCAAGCATGGCCAGGAGTAATTCCTGAGTGCATGAACCAGGAGTAACCCCTGTGCATCACTGGGTGTGACCCAAAAAAGCAAAAAAAAAATATATAGAATTTGAATTCCTGAGGTCAGAGACAGGCCAGGAGTGTAGGTCCTGGCCTTGCAAGCAGTTTACCATAGTACAATCTACAGCACAATGCAGGGTGCCCCAAGTACCACAAAAAATAAAGACCAAAGTTCTGCCACTTGTGGCCTCAACCACTTGTGACCTCAAGTACCACAAGAAATAAGACCAAAGTTCTGCCACTTGTGGCCTCAAAAACCAAACTTGTGGGGCTGGAGAGATAGCACAGTGGGTAGGGCGTTTGCCTTGCACGCGGCCGACCCGGGTTCGATTCCCAGCATCCCATTCCCATATGGTCCCCCTGAGCACCGCCAGGAGTAACTCCTGAGTGCAGAGCCAGGAGTAACCCCTTGCATCGCCAGGTGTGACCCCCCCAAAAAAATGAAAAAAAAGAAAAAAAAACTTGCATCCTGCAAAACCTGATGGCGGGGCGTTGACTCTAAACAAATACTTTCTTTTTATCATTTGGATTTCAGTCATACCCTGTAGTTGCTACTTATGGTACCCAGTGGCATGCCAGGGACTGAACCTAGGTTAGCTGTCTGCAGGGCCAATACCCTACCAGACTGCAGTTCCAGTCCTTAAATTTATTAACTTTTTTTTTTTCTTTTTGCTTTTTGGGTCACACCCGGCAATGCACAGGGGTTACTCCTGGCTCTGCGCTCAGGAATCACCCCTGGTAGTGCTCAGGGGGCCATATGGGATGCTGGGAATCGAACCCGGGTTGGCCGCATGCAAGGCAAATGCCCTACCCGCTGTGCTATTGCTCTGGCCCCTATTAACGTATTTTTGATTGGGCTCTCTCCCCCGCAAGCTACCGAGAGTATCGCGCCCGCATGGCAAAGCCTGGCAATCTACCCATGACATATTCATCTGCCAAACACAGTAACAAGTCTCACAATGGAGACATTACTGGGCCCGCTCGAGCAAATTGATGAACAACGGAAGGACAGTGCTACAGTGCTACATTTTTTATTGGAAGCCACACACAACAGTGTTCAGTGGTTACTCCTGGCTGATGCATCACTTTCTGCAAGTCTGGAGACCCTGTGGTGTGATGGGCTTTGAACCTGGGTCAGGTGTGTGAATCACCCCATGCACTGTGCTTTCACTGGGGCCATTACCAAACAGGTTTTACTCTGGTTAAGTCCAGAAAGTTGTGAAATTAGATGTTCTTTTTCCTAGTAAGTACACAACTCAATTATTTATTTGAGTGTTTTTTGTTTGTTTGTTTTGTTTTCTTGTGGTCCCACCAGCAGTGCTCTGGGCTTATTCCTGACTCTGCACTCAGAAATCTCTCCTGGTGGGCTCTCTTGTGGCATGTGGGGAATCCAACCAGGGTAAGGAAGGCAAGTGCCCTCCTGATGTGCTGTCACCTTGGAACCTAATTTTCATGTTTCACTAGCTTTCTGTTTATTTATTTATTTATTTATTTATTTTTGCATTTTGGGTCACACCCAGCGATGCTCAAGGGTTACTCCTGGCTCATGCACTCAGGAATCGCTCCTGGCGGTGCTCGGGGGACCATATGAGATGCTGGGAATCGAACCTGTGTTGGCCATGTTGGCTGTGTGCAAGGCAAACGCCCTACCCACTGTGCTATCGCTCCAGCTCCGCTTTCTGTTTAATGTCATAATATTTTCAGTTAGTATGATCCCAAGGGGCACAAGACCTAGGACAGCAGGTCAGCTGCTTCCCTTGCCTTCCCTGAGAGTGACAGATAACCCAGACTCCAACCCACTCTCGACCCTCAGAGGGGAAGGAGCATCTGACAGTGTCTCCCCCTGGGTGGGTCTGTGAGCCAGTGCCTGTGAGGGCACTGCTGGTCAGGACCTTTCTAGCTCCAAAGCAAGGACTTCTGGTCAGGGCGCTTCGGGGATATTCCTCTTTGCTGCTAACATCTCTGACTTCTCCTCCAGGTCTTTGCACGGAGCCTCCTGCCAATCCTCGAGAATAATAGGCTGGAGACAATGGTGACACGCAGCCTGACACACTGTCCTCAGGTAGGAGGAGAGTGACAAGAGGACATAATGCAGTAACAGGAACACACAAGTTTCCAGGCGCCCTGAGATATGGCTCTTGGTCACAGCACTGGACTCTGCTGTTTGAGCCTACTTTGCCTTTTTTTTTTTTTTTTTGGCTTTTTGAGTCACACCCAGCCACCCAGTGATGCACAGGAGTTACTCCTGGTTCATGCACTCAGGAATTACTCCTGGCGGTGCTCGGGGGACCATATGGGATGCTGGGAATCGAACCTAGGTCAGCTGCGTGCAAGGTAAACGCCCTACCTGCTGTGCTATTGCTCCAGCCCCTGCCCTTTTTTGTTTTGTTGTTTTGGGTTTGGGCCATATTAGTGTTAGTCAAGGATTATTTCCAGCTCAGTGCTCAAGGATTGCCCTGCCAGGACTAGAGCAGCCTACAGGGTGCCTGGGATCCAAGACTGACTTTTTCGGGTTTATTTTGCTTTCTTTTTTTTTTTTTTTTTTTGAGGTGATGGGAGCATGACACCCAGTGATTCTAGGGTTCCTTCTGCCTCTGCACTTCGGCATTGCACCTGGCAGTGCTTGGGGGACCATATGGGATGGCAGGGATCACACAGCCCTACCCACTGTCCCGGACCCAATGTCCTGTTACTCCATCCTGCTGCTTTGGTTATTTCTTTTGTATTTATTTTTGTGCCACAGTGGAGGTTCTCAGTGCTTCCTCTTGGTTCTATGCTCCAGATTCACACCTGATGGGCAGTAGTGGTTTCAGGGTTTGCTGGCCTTGTGTGTTCTGGCATCTACAATGACTCAGGGGCACAGGTTACGTGTTTCCCCTGTTTTATTCTTTTCAATCTGGAAACCTGTGCCTTCCATTCTACAAGCTGCTGTGTGCGCATTTCAGGGCATTTCTGGGCATTTCTGCTGGTCCGAGGGAAAAGAGCAAAGGATGCCTGGGACCAGCAGAGGTGTTCAAGGGCAAGACACATTTCCTGCTTCGAGAGTTTTTTGGGGTGACCCTTAACTGTGAACTAGAGTTCTCCAGGCACATATGTCCACGCATGGCTTTGAATTGCTTGGAAGTTGAGTGTCCTCTTCTCATCTCTAGTGATCATGGGATATGGGGTGCAGGGGTTTTGTGTCTTCAGCGTTTTGAACCAAACCCAGCATTGCTTTTGAGTCCGGGTGGGTCTGTGGTCAGTTCTTACTCTCTGCAGTGCTCACTTGATGAGTGGTGCTGGAATTGCCCCTGGGGTGTCTCTATGCAAGGCGGGCACCTCCAGGAACCTCCTAGTATAGTATCCTCACATTTGATCAAATCCAGCTACCTTAGAGTGACTTGTCGGGCCCGTTACCCAGGATGTCATGTGGAGAGAAGAACATCAAGGGTGGTTCCTCCTGAGAGAGACCCTGAGCCCTCTGGGCCCAGTGAGGTGGACATCAGGTCAATCCCCACCCAGGGAATGGGGTGGGGATTGACCTGATTCTCACTCCCTTGTATGTATGTCGGTTCAGGACGTGGTAACCTTCCCAGACGTGGCTGTGAGCTTCACCCCAGAGGAGTGGATGTGCCTTGATGCCTCTCAGAGAAAGCTCTACAGGGACGTGATGCTGGAGACCTACCAGCACTTGCAGGTCATCGGTGAGAGCCACGTGGGTCCAGCCGTGCCAGGACAGATCCATAGAGGCTTCTGGGGGCTGGGTAGGGGCTGTGTGTTCAAGAGTGGCCATGATTGTGATGGATCAGGATGGTTTTTTTTTTTTTTAATGTAGGAGTGCTGCTATTTATTCAGCCACTGATTAGCTGATTGAATTGGGCATGAACTCCAAACATTGGGATGTTTGACAGCTGTGCAGATAACTGTGTTTCTTGGTCCTCTCTATTTTTCTGTTTTTGTTATGGGCCACACCTGGTAATGCTCAGGGCTTACTTCTGGTTCTGTTTTCAGGAATCACTCTTGGTGGGCTGTTGGGTCCAAGTTGTATGCAGAGAATCAACCCAGTTGGCGACATGCAAAGAAAGTGCCCTAGGCACTGTGCTATCACTCAGGTTCCTCTAAATGGATCCTTCCATGACTAAGTTAATTTATTTCCTGTTCTACACTTCACTTCAGTGTGGTTTTTTTTTTTTTTTGGTTTTGCTTTGGGTTTTGTTCAGGGATACAGTCCACATTCCTCCTGGCTCTGAGCTGAAGAATTTCTCCTACTAGTGCTCACGGGCCCAAGGGAATGCTGTGGATTAACCTGGTCAGCATCTTACAAGTCTGGTCCTTACCCGCTGTACTGTGGCACCAGACCTGCAACTTCATTCCTTTTTCTTTTTGTTTTGATTATGTTTGAGTGCTACACCCAGCATTACTCAGGATTTACTCCTGGTGTATATTCAGGAATTTCTCCTGGTAGTGCTCCAGGCCCCTCTGGATGCCAAGGATCAAGCCCATGTGTGTGTGTGTCAGCACAAGCCCTTACTCCGGCCAAAAGTTCGTTTTTTCACGCAACAGACATTGCTCAGTGCCTGAGTTTACCCCAGTGGGTCTTGGGAGACTTCAGCATGACTTGCTTTCAGTCTCAAATTGAAATGTGGGTCTTATGTCTCTGATAACCACCAGTCTAGAGCACATGAAAATTCTGTGCCTGTCTTTTCAGTAATTTGCCTGGTTTTATTTGGGACAAAGGTTTTTGGACTGTCACTTTTTCCTTATAACTAATCCAGTCCTTCATCTCTATGAGAGCAGGGAATTATAGAGTGAAACCTGTGCTGATTTCTTGGTTGGAAGGAGAAGCCCTGAGGCCGGGGAGGAGAGACTTGTGTGCAGGTGAGTGTCTGAGGACCTTCCCTGGCTTGGGCCCTCCCTGGGCAGTGTGAGAGTCTCCTAAGCATGTGTGAATCACAGTGCTGATCCCAGGGACCCACCTCCGACTTCTAGATCTGTGCCACGCTTACACTGTCCTTCACTCCTCTGGACTGTCCGTCACAGAATGACCCTGTGCTTTGCTTTCTTGGCTTTGTCTACTCTTCTCAGCTGTCAGGCATGTAGAATTGTCCATGGCATCTCCAGCCCTCAGCCACCCTGTCTCTGCCTTAGCAGCTGATGTGCTACTGGCAATGTCAAGGCACCCTTTTCTGCTGGACCCCCACTCTGCACTCCTTTTGCCCTTGGGTCATTAGCATGGTTTTTGAGTATACTAGGAGTCTTACTATTCTTTTGTCTTTGGGACCTGTGATGCTCAGCAGTTATTCCTGGCAGATCTCGGGTTGCTTTGGGCAGTGCTCAGGGATCAGCTGGTCAGCCTCATGCAAGCCAGATGCCCTACCTGCTGTTCTCTCTCTGACCATTGCGCTAACCACTCTCCGGCCCGTGGAGGTGGCCCTGGGGATTGATCCGCTGGTGCAAGGAGGGACCAACCGAATGAACACGAGACACAAGAGACAGAGTGCAGTTTAGAAACAGAGAGAAAAAGAGACAGACTTTATTGAGGGATACAGGCTGTTTATATAGGGTCCGGGGCAGCCCAGTCAGGAGCAGAAGCAATATAACCATACATGGTAAGGTCAGCAACAAGAACTTTACCTAGGTAAACATTTATATATCAAAGGGTCCTGAGCTTTACCTACCATTCAAGGTAAACATTTGTACATCAAAGGGTCTTATGGCAGTAGATGCATCCTGAGCTATACATTTGTATAGGAGGTCACTATAGATAAGGCCAGATAAGATAACTGTCAGCCTGATGTATGTGGCTATAGATCAGGTATCTGCTGAGGTCAGGAAGTCCTGGGAGACTGTCACCAATGTCTGTCCCAAGCAGTTCCTAACATGGGAACCACGGCCAGGGTCTATGACAGGGTTCTTGGCTTCCCACACTGACCCACTAAGAAATATTTTTTGTTTTTATATTTAAATAGGGAATGAGAGAGGGAGCTCATAACAAAGCCAATTTGAGCAGGAGATTGCTTGCTTTGCATGTGGCTGGCCCAGGTTCCCTGGGCATCACCAGGTCTGGACAGAAAACAAAACCTAGGGGGCCTAGGGGGCTGGAGCGATAGCACAGCGGGTAGGGTGATTGCCTTGCACATGGCCAACCTGAATTTGATTCCCAGCATCCTATATGGTCCCCTGAGCCCAGCCAGGAATAATTCCTGAGTGCAGAGCCAGGAGTAACCTCTGTGCATCACCGGGTGTGACCCAAAAAGCAAAAAAAGCAAAAAAAGAAAACAAAACTTATAAAATGAATTTGGGGATTGCCAAGGTGCTCATAGTGATCCCTGAAAGGACCTTCCCTTTGCTGTTTCCTGTTTGGACGGTGAGATCCATAGAGATGTCTTGCCACCTGCCCAGCCTCATCCAGCTACATTCCATTTAATGAATTCTTCCACTGCATGTTGTGATTGATTTCAGATCTCAAACCACAGCTTCAGGATGTGGCATGGCTGCAGTTTGATTTGGGAACAGGATCACCGAATACGAGTGAGCTGGTAAGATTCACACGTTAAATATAATTATTATTGTGTAGACTGAAGAGGTTAGTGGACCAAGCATGTGACTTGAAAGGTGGGAGTCCGGGTTCCATCCACTCCCACATTCCACTTCATCATCTGTCTGGGAATCACAGGGAGGAAATTTGGAGCCTAATGCTGGGAGTAGAGGGCCCTTAGCCCCACTCGGTGCTAGAATCATTCATTTTTTTTTTTCTTTTTGGGTCACACCTGGCAATGCACAGGGGTTCCTCCTGGCTCTGCGCTCAGGAATTACCCCTGGCGGTGCTCAGGGGACCATATGGGATGCTGGGAATCAAACCTGGGTTGGCCGCGTGCAAGGCAAACGCCCTACCCGCTGTGTTTTCTCTCCAGCCCCTAGAATCATTCATTTTTAAACTTAAAGAAATCTTAGTGCTGGTGTTGTTGTTGTTGCTATTATTATTATTATTATTATTGTTTTTTAGGTCTCACCCAGCAATATTCAGGGGTTACTCCTGGTTACTCACAAATTGCTCCTGGCAGTGCTCAGTGGACCATATTGTATGCCGGGGATCAAATCCAGGTCCACCAGAAGCAATGCAAATGCAGTTCCAGCTATACTATCACTCTGGCCTCTTTTTTTCCCCCCTTTTTGGGTCACACCCGGAGATGCTCAGGGATTACTCCTGGCTCTGCACTCAGGAAAGATTCTTAGCGCTGCTTAGGGAACCACAGGGGATCCTACAGGTTGACTGTGTGCTAAGCAAATGCCCTCCCTGCTGTACTATCGCTCCAGCCCGCAGCCTCTTTTTTAATACTAAAGAAATACTGTGATCTTTCATTTGTCGGCCCTGGTGATGGTGCAGTGGAAAAGGCACTTGTGTATGGGAACGGAAACCAGGGCTACATCCCCAGACCTAAAATGTCCCCAGAAATCCACCACAGTAATCCGTGAGCACCTCTCAGTATGGCCACCCTCAAAATAAATACAAACTACAAAACAAAAAGAACAAAAAGTCATTGATCCTGGAGAGAAATCCTCTTGTGGTGAGATGTTTTCAGTGGCCCTGTGGTCCATCTTGGCTGTGTAAGGATGCAGTGTTGTCTTCACACATGCATCATGGGCTCCACAGTGAGCTAGAACTGAGCCCACACACAGGTGTATTTTATTTTGCTCGAAACTAATAATTCATTGTTTCACAGAGGGCCTTATATCCATTTAATGCATCTGTTCATTGGTGGATTGAGTTGAGAAAAACTTTTCAAGCTGAATGACTCGCGGCCTTCAATTTTGTGCATCCTTCTTGCCAGATACTTAGGTCATTCCACGGAAACGCCACCTATCTGTCGGGAATTGCATTAGTGTGGTGGACACGTTAGAAACCAACCCTGAGGGCTTGATTTCTTTAGACATAAAGACTCTTAAGGACTAGAGCAGTAATTGTAATCCTTATTCTACAGGGAATCAGCCAGCCCCAGTGGAATGTCTCAGACCCAGCACAGTGTGACAAAGTCTTGAGTGAGCAGTCCTGCCCTCAGCCCCATGGGGATGCCAAGACAGTTAAGATGTCTTCTGAGGGTGATCAGATTGAAAAGAGCTTCCTACCTCCAAAGAAGCCCTCCCCTGGGAAAAGCTCCTCCAAATATGTTCCGCTCAATCCATGGACACAAAATCCCCCAGTGCTACAGCCCCTGGACTGTGAGAGAGGAGCACTGTTTATAGCAAGTCCCTCACACCGACAGGCCCACAAGCAAAGTCACCATGAACAGAACTCATTCAAGTGTGAAGAGTGTGGGGGAACTTTCCCGTGTTCTAGGCACCATGAGGTTCCCATAGAAACCCACAGTGGACAGAATTTCCAGAAATGTCAACAGCAAAGACAAACATTGAGTCCAAGGATTGACTCTGTGAATGTCCATAAAGGAGAGAAGCCGAGTACTTGGAAAGAGTGTGGGCAGCCCCTCCATCATTCCTCACACCCTATTATACAGAGGAGAGTTCAAACGGTAGAGAAACCGTCTGTATGTAAAGAGAATGGGAAGGCCTTTACCCAACCCTCAAGCCTCAGTTTACACAAGAATATTCATAGTGAAGAGAAACCTTATTTGTGCACTGACTGTGGAAAGGCCTTTCTTCATTTCGCCAGCCTTTCTGTGCATCGGAAAATTCACACAGGAGACAAATCTTATTCATGTAAGGACTGTGGGAAGGTCTTTGCCTATTATTCAAGCTGTTCTATGCACCAGAAAACGCACAATGAAGAGAAATCGTATATATGTAAGAAATGTGGGAAGGCCTTCGCTCATTACTCAAACCTTTTGAGTCATGGGAAAGTTCATACAGGACAGAAGCCATATATATGTGAGGACTGTGGGAAAGCTTTCAGCTACCCCTCACGCCTTATTAGTCATAGGGAGATTCATAATAAAGAGAAACCTCATATCTGTAAGGTATGTGGGAAGGCTTTCGCTCTATTTGCTTACCTCTCTGTACACAGAAAAATTCATACTGGAGAGAAACCTCATAAATGTGAGGCATGTGGAAAGGCCTTCACTCGATCCTCAGCCCTGACTGTGCATGTGAAAACTCACACTGGAGAGAAGCCTTACATATGTCAGGAGTGTGGTATGGCCTTTAGTAGGTTCTCAAGACTTACTGTACACAGGAGAATTCATACGGGAGAGAAACCTTATGTTTGTAAGGAATGTGGGGATGCCTTCATTAGCACTTACAGCCTTCTTCAGCATCGGAGACTTCATACTGGAGAGAAACCTTTTGTGTGTGAGGAATGTGGGAAGGCATATTGTCATTCCTCAAGCCTCCGTAGTCATAGGAAGATTCATACTGGAGAGAAACCTTACGTTTGTAAGGAATGTGGGGAGGCTTTCTCTCAATATGGGTACCTTACCAAGCACAAGAAAATTCATAATGAAAAGAAACCGTATCAATGCCAGACATGCGGGAAGGCCTTCACTACGTACTCAGGTCTTACTCTGCATATGCAAACTCATATTGCAGAGAAACCTCACAAATGTAAGGAATGTGGGAAGGCCTTCACTCGATCCACCGCCCTTACTATGCATATCAAAACTCACACTGGAGAGAATCTATATATATGTCATGAGTGTGGGAAGGCCTTTAGCAGATTCTCAATACTTACTATACACAGGAGAATTCACACGGGAGAGAAACCCTATGTATGTAAAGAATGTGGGAAGGCCTTCATTAGTACCTCCAGCCTTCGTCAGCACAGGAAATTTCATACTGGAGAGAAAGCTTTTGTGTGTGAGGAATGTGGGAAGTCTTACCGTCATTCCTCAAGCCTTCGTAGCCATAGGAAAATTCATACCGGAGAGAAACCTTACGTGTGTAAGGAATGCGGGAAGACTTTCTCTGAAATTCGGAACCTGAATAAGCACAGAAAAATTCATAGTGAAGATAAACCTCATCAATGTCAGACATGTGGGAAATCCTTCACTCTGCACTCAGGCCTTACTACGCACATGAAAATGCATACCGGAGTGAAATCTTATGTATGTAAAGAGTGTGGGAAGGCCTTCGTGTTCTCTTCAAGCCTTAGTAAACATCATAAAATTCATACTGGATGACTTGATTCTCTAATAATCCTCAAGGTCAGAATAGGCCCCCTCAGTAAAACAAGTTTCCTTTGGCCGACATAGGGATCAGTGGTGCTACAATGAACAGACAAGAAGGAAACAATCGTGGTAGCATATGACAAACTTCCCATGATGTCACTTCACTCTGAAAACCTCCACTCTGCCCTCAGCCTCACTCTCCATAGGAAAATTCATACTGGAGAGAAACTCCGTGAATGCAAGGCATGTGAAAGGCCTCTAGTCAATCCTCAGCCCTTACTCTGCATATGAAAACTTATATTGTAGAGAAGGCTCATCTATGTCAGGAGTGTGGGAAGGCTTTTACCAGATCCTCAAGACTTAGTGTACATAGGAGAATTCACAATGAAGAGAAACCGTAAACATATAAAGGATGTGGGAAGTCCTTTGTGTTCTCAGGCCTCAGGACATACAAAATTCATACTGAATGACTTGATCCCTGTAGTCAGAACAGGCCACCTCAGTTTGGACAAGTGGTGTAGGGGCAGTCTACAAAGTGCAGCCAGGACGGAAATAATCCTGGTAGCACATGAGAGGCTTCCTGTGATGTCAGCTCTATGAGAGACAGATGCTTGCCAATTATTACCTGGGTTGTAGCTGTGCCCTTGTGAACTTAACATGTATGTTAACTTGTAAATAATGGGTCTTGGTGATGGAAGCCAGAAGGAAGGTGACTGAAGAAGAATTAATAAACAGATAATAAAACCGTACCTTGCTTGGGCTGTCAAGGTGCACCACTGTCTCATTCTTTTCTCTGGCTCTGGATTGGCTGAGAGGCCTTGGGTTGTGGGGCTTTATGGCAGAGATCAACCTGGTGCTACAGTGAATATTTTGAAATTGGAAAAACAGTCAAACCTTCATACTTCAAGACCTCTTTATTTTCTGGAGAGCCAAGCCCCGCTGTGTTCAGGTCTTCCTTCTGCCTTTGAGCTATGGTGTCCATATTGGGGGGATTCAGGAAACCTTATGAGGTACTGGGCTTGGAATCCTGGTCAGCCATGTGCAAACTAGCACCTTACCCTCTAGAGCATCTATGCACTTCTATTTAGGGTTTTCTTAAGTTTACAGAAGCAGTAAGATAAATATTCCTGAAAAGTATCATCTTTAGAAAATGGCCCCAGTAGGGGATCTTTAATAGGGTGGGTTGGGTATAGTTTAAGTGAACTTTACTGTGCATAAAAAGCCATTTGCTGGTTCTTTGAAAGGATGGGAGGGTCCCCTTGGCTCAAATGTTTTTCAGAGAGCTGTATAGACACTGGATCAGGAGCAAAGCTGGTAAGAATATCAGCACTGTCTCATCAGTGCTCTACCTCTTGACAGCATGTGAGCACTGGACTCTGTCTACAAGGAAAACCCCAGGGCGCAGTTGAATTTGGTTGACCTGAGTTCCACCCCTGGCATCCCAAATGGTGACCTAGGGAACTTGATGCCTGCAAGGTGCAAGGTGTGGACCCAAAACAGAAAATAGACTTCAATAAATCCCAGTGAAAGAACCAATCCTAACAGCGGAGACACACATTGAGCTAACAGGAAGCAAACCATACTGGTCATTTTGTAACCTTGCTTGATCTTTTAGGTAGAGTCCAATAGTTTTTACCATTCCGGTGATGACTAGATTGTTGGGATTTTACTGCTTCCAAAGGCAAAATTCGGTGGTTCCCCCCACCCTAATACTAGTCAAATGAGGGAGATGGGAAACAACTCAGTACAGAAAGCCCTGGGGATGCGGTGCTTGACCAACAGGTCAACCTGTATCCATGGGGCAAGTGCAGCTTGATTGTGCTTCAGACTTCCTGATAGCCAAAAATTGCTGCTGTGCCTTTGGCCAGACCCCAACAACTTGGGACCAAGTTTACCAAGAAATTAGCACTGTATCACTGTCGTCCCATTGTTCATCGATTTGCTCAAGTGGGCACCAGTAATGTCTCCATTGTGAGACTTGTTACTGTTTTTGGCATATCGAATACATCACAGGGAGCTTGACAGGCTCTGCCATACAGGCAGGATACTCTGGGTAGCTTGCCTGGCTCTCCAAGAGGGGCGGAGGAATCAAATCCGGGTCATCCCAGGTCAGCCGCGTGCAAGGCAAACACTCTCCCTACTTGCTATAGCTCCAGCCCACCAAGAAATTAAATGACCAAAAGTTAGGTACCCACAAACCACCTTCAACTCAGCTATACAAGCTCATTTATTGGCCTTATTTCAGAAACACATAAATAAAGCTCGAAAGAGATCAAAATCTACAGTTAATCTTGAACCTATGCATTGCATACTGGGATAAATCAAAGGGGGGCGGGTCAGCCTGGTGCCTACCCAAGAAGAGCCCCTGGCATCCACTTGCTCCAGCGATACAAAATCGCCACCGTACCCCCCCGCCTTACTTCACCATCTCAGGACAGACCTCACTGAGACATAAAGTATGGAAATTATGGTATGTTTGTTTTGTGGCTGAAATCTCCAGGCTTACTGGGGTCAGGATGGACTACTTCCCCCACCTCTCTCTATTTCTGGAAGCCTGAACGGTCATATCCACACCCCAAAACTGCCATCCAGTTAAAAAGCTCCTCCAAACTTACCATCCCGATAAAAATACCGTATGCCCTGAACAAAAAGCACGACGTTTTAGTACCTGTATTGCAAATCGTAATGCACAAAAGGAAAAGGAGAGAGCGAGAGCAAGAAGAAAAGTACCTCCCATAGAGGGAGACTGGGGCAGGGGAGGAGTTGAGGTCTTGGAGGATGGTGGAGGGAAACAGAACATCACGGTGGGAAATATATACTGGTGGCGGGATGAGGGCTGCATCATTGTGTGACTGAAACCCAATTATGAACAGCTTGGTAATGACCTATCTCACAGATATTCAATTAAAACATTTTCAAAAATAAAAGTAACGTGGAGTTTATGCCCACTTCTATCAGCTTAATCAGTGGCTGAATAAATAAATAGCAGTACTTCTATATTTAAAAAGAAGACAACAGGGGCTGGAGCAATAGCACAGCGGGTAGGGCATTTGCCTTGCACACGGCCGACAGACCCGGGTTCGATTCCCAGCATCCCATATGGTCCCCTGGGCACCGCCAGGAGTAACTCCTGAGTGTAGAGCCAGGAGTGACCCCTGTGCATCGTCGAGTGTGACCCAAAAAGCAAAAAATAAATAAATAAATAAATAGAAGACAACAGAAGACCTGGATGCCTGTGTGCTCCTGTCACTACATCATATCATCTTGTCACTCTCCTCTTACCTGGGGACAGTG